AACCCGAATACTCATTAAAAATCATGTATCTTGCCTATCGGGAGTAACATGAAAGATACGGTGCCAATAATTGAATTGCTGTTACGGTACGCTGTTTCTAAACTTAGATGGTCATTCCTTAATTAAATAGCCCACCAGTGGCCGAGCAGTAAAGACGTTGATCATTAGTAGTTCGGTCCGAGGTTCGAATCGCGTGAACGGGCTGGCTGTATCGGCGTTTTCCCCATGTATAACATGTATACGAGCCAGTTTACCTTAGAAAGTCCTCCACGAAGGGATCCCTCCCTTTAGGCAGATAGCCCTTGTGTGCTTTGCCATAATTAAACAATCCAATCCAATCCTTAATTAAATATAATTGATTTGTAACTTCTACTGGAACTGACGGTAAGAATTGAAATGCAAATAAATAATATCGTGTGCAATCTTGATTAATATAAAATTTAAAATATTTGCATAGAAAAATATTTGCATTCAGACAGAAAGTTTTTTGAAATATTTGCAATTACTTTATAAGAAGGATTTATTAATTACCGTAATAATTACTTATTATATTACTGATGATTAGGATTCAGCTCTTGACAATTAAATTCTAAATTAGAATTTTAAGGATATAATGAAAATACGCTACACACAAAAATACATTTTAGGATAAAAACGAGTTGGTTTTTTATGTTTTAAAATTTCTTAAATTCATTTAATAAACATCGTATCCTCGTTGTTAATTGAATCCTGAATGTTGGTGGCGTTTATAGAATTATTCTTACTTGTCCACAGAATCTGCTGACTTATCCAGCCATTAAGTAGCTGCAGATCATTTCTACATAACCATTGAACTTCCAATTATTCAGTCTCTAGAGGACTGTATGTTTATAGCATAATTTGACTTTTATAAAAATGATTATTCTAAATATTATGTTTCTATAAAAATATACTGTGCTTTAAAAATGTGGATGATAGTATCAGCCGCTCTTTCAGCCACTTCAAAAGCAACAGTTTGTTTAGAAATAAATTATGCAGTTAATGTCATAAAATTCAAATAAATATCAAACGAAAATTCTCAGTTTTAGACAATTCGATTTAAACGAAGTAAAGTAGCAGACGATAAAACGCCGAAGGTAAAAATTTACTCTTATTTTTTTAAAAAAAGGAAGATAGAGAGAAATTAAAAAAAAAAAAAATAGTTAAAAATTTGAATATCATCATCTATACTTTAAAAAAAAATAGCTTTTCATATAGTATTAATAAATATTTATTACTCTTCATTGAGGGAAAAAATGTATATAATTAATTATTCGTAAAATCTTGAAATTTAAGGTTAAAAATAGCTGTGGCAATTCACTGTAACAAAAATCCATAGACCACATTTGGCGATATTATCGCTCAAAAAAAAGATGCCAAATTTCAAAACTCGAAAATATGTAAATTTGTGTATATCTTAGAAAATTTTGAATAAAAAAGTCTAATTTTTTGCAGATATGCTTAAAAATATACCTACTTTAAGATGATGGTAAAAATTTTATAGGTTATAATTAAAAATTTTTTTCGAAAAATTTATAAAAATTATTTAAAATTAGAAATTTAAAAAATAAAACGCAAAAAATGAGTAAATTTTATTTGGAATGAACCTAAATTTCAAAATGTGAGAGAAAAAATCAAAAAAGTTTAATAAAAAAAGAGATATTAATAAATATTTGCCAAATTCAATTAACATTGAGGAGCTAAAATTTTGAGCTAATATTTTAAAAACTACTCGTATGATTTTTACAAAACTTGGTATTCTGGTATAATTTGAGACGTAGAATCGAAATATGGAAAAATATTGGTATGTTATTTCAGAAAAAGTCCGATTTTGTGTCAAAATACCTATGTTAGAATAGTGCTATATATAAATCTAATATATATCCTAAGTCGCACGAGACATGAAAAACGCAATTTGAATTTTGTCAATCGGCCCAGTAGAACGGGAGATATAGCACTGTCCCATTTTTTTTTTTTTTTTTTTTTTTTGAGCAGTGTACCAATAGTACATCTTCTTTTTAATACAAAGGTAAAAGGCCTAAGGCATACTTGATCTATTGGTGATAACTCACAGTAGTTGGTACGAAATGCGGGTAAAGGTAATTATCTATTTCAGTTAATGTTGCAGATTGTCTTGTTCCTTAACCTTCTAATTGGATCCGATTTTTTTTTTTTTTTTTTTTACAGACTGTTAGAGCAATTTTATAAAAATTAAGCTTGAACTTTCAATTATGTCAAAAAGAGTTTCCAATTCTGGAGCTACCAAAGGATCTACAAAGCAAAAGCATGTTTCAATGTCCATCAAACAAAAAGTGGAATTGCTGCAAAAAATGGATAAAGGCATGAAGAAAGTGACAGAAAGGTTAGTGAAAAGGAAAAAAAAATTATTGACAAGTTAGTCGGTATTCTCGGCACAGCAATTGCAAGACTTAAACAGCGGAACTTTGTACTGAGCAAGAAATTATGTCTGTTTAAAGAATTAAAGAGAAAGTATTAGCACATAAAACGAAGCAACTTAAACAACTTACATTGAAATAAATGTTTAATAATGTAAACAAATAAATATTAAGCTTTTTTTTTTTTTTTTTTTTTTTTTTTTTTTTTTTTTTTTTTTTTTGTAAATTTTGATACCTATCAGATCATAATTGCTCTTTAATTCATAAATTACGGTTTCATATTTTTAATTTTATAATTTCTGCATGCCATGTTACCAGATTTAAATTAATGATCTATAATCTGGAAAAACCGATAATCTGGAATCGAAGTTCCGACGAGTCTGGATTAAAGACTAAGTATTGTATATATATTTTGAAATCTTAATATATATATATATATATTTAAAAAAATAAAATAAATAAATAAATAAAAAAGAAAAATCCAGGAAAAATAAACGAAAGATAACTTTTCACAATTATTTTTAAAAATGGCAAAAAAAGGTACAATATCTAGTGCTCAATATGATGGAAATTATGCTTCAGTATTATTAAGCTGACTGGAAACTTTGTGTTTTGGAACTTTTAGCAAAATATTAAGATGCTTCAGCTAAACAGAAAACTTTTCACTTTTGCCAAAGAAAGAAACCCAGCACCATTCCATTTTCATATGCTGCTTGAATGTCTCGCTTAAGCAATCCTATAGTTGCCATCTAGCTAGCACATATGCTAAGCAGTTCCACAGTCAATAAGATTGTATACAAAGCAAAATGAAATGAAGAGGGGACTTCTTGCTAGGTGAAAGAAAGAAGCACATGATGAGGCTCCATAATAAGTATTTTTCTATTTCTTCGCTATATTAAATAAACTAGCAGCTTCGCTGCCAGCCTTCGTCTGGCTTTTAAATGTACCAGAAAAATGGCTGAAGGGAACACCAAACGTTAAATTTAAAAACTGAGTCGAATTTTACTCTGCAGGACAACTTCATAAAAAAAGTTATTATGTATAACAAAATTACAATGATATAAGCAATATCCCTTTATACAAATATTAATTATCCTAATAAATAAATTAACCAACTTCCCTTTGCAAAATCTAAAGAATTCAAATGGTATAAAGGAGATTAAAAACTTTGTTTCCTAAAAAAATCACTCAAAACTTTTCAATATCTTAAAAACAGTGAAATGAGCAATAAATAACATAAAAGAATACAAAAAATTCTGAAAAGCAAAGTATAATTAATGATATTACATCTTATATTTTCAAGAGAAACAAATTACAATGAAATATGCTATATAATATATAATGAAATATGCAATAATTCCTTATTACAAATATTAATTATCCTAATAAAAAAATTAACCAACTTTCCGTTGAAGAAAAAAAAATCATGCAAAACTTTTCAATATCTTAGAAACAGTGAAATAAGCAAACAATAGCATGAAAGCAACTAAAAAAAACATAAAATTCCACGCAGAATTTTACTCTGCAGAACAACTTTATCAAATAAAAATCAATAAAAATGTATTATTTATATATAAAAATGACAATGAAATATGCCAATCTCTTAAAAACAGTGACATAAGAAATACGATGAAAAATCGTTGCTAAACCCATATTTCTAAAAGAATGAAACTATTCAAAATGATGCGATTTCATCAAAAATCTATCAACAACAATAAGACAAGAAAATTGTTACCAGAATCGCATTTTTGAAGGCGTGAGAAGTGTACTCGGAAGCTTCATTTTTAAAAAAAAATTTAAAAATACAAAATATTATCACTTTTCCAAAATTCTTTTTGTAAAATCAGTCGCAAGGATGAAAGTTTAACGTGCCCAAAAATCAAAGAAAAACAAACTGTACATTTTTAAAAATAAACTTTTTTAGAAAAAATCCCGTTGAAAAGGTGTTAAGCTTCCTTTGTTAAATAAATTCGTATTTAATCAATTTACTTAAACATGAAATTTATTTTAAGTTTGTAAAATAGCTAAGTGCATACGTTTCATGAAGATGTGAAAATGGAGTGTGTAGAGTAAAATTTCGCTTTCCTATAGACCATTACGTCTCAAAATGACGCGATTTTGTCACAAAACATAAAATAAAAAAAATTCCAATTCCGAAAAAATTGCTTTGAGGTGCACTGGCTCTTGTCTAGATGCACCTATGTACCAAATTTCATACCCGTGGGTCTATTAGCTTACGCGCAGTGTGAACGAAAGACACACAGACTCTTTCTTTTATTATATGTAGAAATTGTTCATTTTTTAATAAGTGATCAAAGGGGAAAGGTGATCACAGTAATCTACGACAACTGCTGGCAGTCAGGATTCAAATAATACCTGATCAGGTTGTTTAGAAATTGAAACTAATCGTGGAACAAAGCCAAGGAAAATATTACGACGAGAAAAAAGGGTTACATTTCTTTATAACAACTGCAATTTAAAGATTCTTACAGATTAATAATATATATAGTTTTTAATCACAATTATGGGTGAATCCTTAGATTAGCAAAACAAAACTGATTACTGAAATATTATATTACATCTCACCTGCTAAAGAAAGAGCTTCAATATCAGACTTCTGAGTCTTTTCCTTTTCTGAAGTATTTTCACCATCTTCTGTAGCCATTTCTATGTCAACATCTTGAATAGCCATTATCTATGACAAAATAATATTAGCAAGTAAAATAGCAATTTTGTTTACAAATTCTAAGAAAATTTTGATTTATTATACTAGACAAAAAAAAAAAAAAAAAAAAAAAAAAAAAAATCATAACAAATATGGTTTAAACATATTTTCTGTTCATTATGACCAAACGGCTAATGAAAATATTTTAAATAAAATAATGTGACAAATTTTAAAACAAGCAGAGAAAGCAGTTCACTGAATATTTGCTTTTGACAACACAGCACTTAGTTAAGGAGCAATAGTATACATAACTAGCAAGCCACTAAATATATTATACATATTTCCTACTCAATATATTTATAAACCAATTAAAGTCTCAATATTTTCATGCTATTACATCGGATCATAGTTTTCATTTAAGTCAACACTGTTTCAACTCATTGTACAAAAAGTCTTATACTTGCATGTGCTAATTTTAGTATCTGTAGTTTAGTACATCCAAAAAATATTCTTTAAAAAAATAAACATCAATTTTTCAAATGGATTGAAAATTTCAGGTTGAAAAATGGATGCCATGACAGAAGAAATGTTACAATACCTCTTTTTCATCTTGACATAATGTAGCAAGCATCCCAACATATAGCTAAAATATCAATGTTTCTGACATATATGACAAAGTAAAACATATACTGTAAACATACAATGCAATGTACAGCATATTATAATATTATAACTTTATTTAATGCTGATAATGCTTTACAGTGCATAATTTATCAATTAAACTTTACGATACCTTTTTTTTTTTTTTTTTTTTTTTTTTTCCCAATGGCAGATTGTGAACAATTACAAATGTCACCCAGTCAATTAATATACACAAGGTCGGATGTGGCGGTCTCTTTATTATCGAGGCACCTAATAGGTGGGCCACCATCGCCTTTCCTATGAAGGGACGGACAGTTACAGCCATGCCTTTTCTGGAATTCGAATCCAGGCCCTTCAGCATCGCAGTCAGCTTCCCTGACCACCATACCGACTGGGTGGCACTTTACGATACTTATTAATACAATATGACATTGCATTAGGTATTATCTCTAATTTCAGCAAATTATGACAGTCTTGATCAACCCTGGATATGAAAGCACTACTATATGTATATTTTTTTAGCTGCACATTGTTAAATTTAAAGAAATCGTACTTGACATCTACACGAATTTTAACCTTTTGTTACTATTTTCATTCAATTTGAGGGGCATATAAGTATGCCCTAATACAGCAAACAAAGGGTTAAAATTGGTTTAACAAAAAAAGTAGTATTGGGTTGTTCGGAAAGTAATTTCGTTTTTTTTTTTTTGGGAACATGAAAGACAATTTGGTTGATCTTTACAATATGGTAACTGGTAGTTTGGCGACATTTTGGAGGCGATAAAGGTTACTACCTGGGACTTTGGTAATAATGTGAGCAGTACTCAGTTCCGATTACACATTATTTTGTGTGGGGGAAATGAGAGATCATGGGATATGTCACGTGATATTAATGGACGAATTACGGTTCTTTAATTGGAAAAGGGGGGAATTTGGACAAGTATCTGTGGATGTATATTATTTTGTATTAAGCTTCATTGTGTGTTGTGTGAAGTAGGGTTGAATAATTTTGGGATTGTATGGCGCTGTCTAAAGTGAATTGTAGATGTGATAAAGAGAATTTTTTTTTATCAAATTCTATCAAATTCGGAAAAAAAGTTGCTCAATAATTTTATTGAATACATAATAAAAGTGTATCCACCATGTAAGGAAGATTCGGAAGAAGATTAGGTTAGTTAGACTTTGTTAAGAATGTGAGTAGTATTCAGTTCTGATTACGCATTATTTTGTGTGAGGGAAATGAGAGATCATGGGATATGTTATGTGATATTAATGGACGAATTACTGTTCTTTAATCGGGAAAAAATCTGGCAATTTTGTATTTGGCTTTATTCTGTGTTGTGTGAATTTTTGGATCCCATGGCCGTAACTAAAGTAAATTCGAAATGGGTATTTAGTGGTATTGAAAAGGATAGTAATAAATGTTTTTTAAGGTTGTGCGAGAGAGAAATAAAGATGTTTTATTATGTTATTTATTTTACCTGGTATCTTGCTTTGAAAGATAAGTATGATTTTAAAGATTCTGAAACAGAAGTAAGAAAAGTGTATCCGCCACGTAATCAAGATTCTGAAGAAGATCAGGTAAGTTAGTATTTTTAATTATTTGAGGATATTATTTTTATGCATTGTTGTAAATGTAAGGTGGAAAGGAATTTGGTATTATTGGGAAAATTGTTATTAGCAATGATTTAGTTTAAAGTAATTAGGATTGTAAGGTAATTTTTATTAATTTAATGTATGTGCTCATTTATATTTTAAGTAGTGTTTTTGAATTTAATTATATTTTAATGAAATGATAGTTATTTTGTGAATTTTATGTTTGTAGGAATTTGGTATACGTTTAAGTTGAAATAAACGTGCATGGAAATAATTTAAATATTTGATATTAAGTATTTGTAATGCTTGAGGTATGAATTCGTTGGTGACGTGTATAATGTAATAGATGATTTAGAGGTAAAAGTTTTTGGATATTCTATTTATTTTATATGTGGAAATGTTGATATTTGTAAAGGGTAAATACTTTTTCGCGATCATGTAATTTCATATATGTTCTTTTTACCGGGTTTAAAGATTGAGAAAATTGTCATGTATTTTCGTGAAATTTTTTTAATTTATGAGAAAAAAGCAGTGTACATGGATATAGTGAAGAGTGTGCGCAATGCCATTTTTGGGCAATTCTGGGATGTTTTTTTAAGTAAAAATAAGTCGACGTGTACATGGTTTAGTGATATTTTAATGAAATGATAGTTATTTTGTGAATTTTATGCTTGTAGGAATTTGGTATACGTTTAAGTTGAAATAAACGTGCATGGAAATAATTTAAATATTTGATACTAAGTATTTGTAATGCTTGCGGTATGAATTCGTTGGTGACGTGTATAATGTAATAGATGATTTAGAGGTAAAAGTTTTTGGATATTTTATTTATTTTATATGTGGAAATGTTCATATTTGTAAAGGGTAAATACTTTTTCGCGATCAGGTAATTTCATATATGTTCTTTTTACCGGGTTTAAAGATTGAGAAAATTGTCATGTATTTTCATGAAATTTTTGTAATTTATGAGAAAAAAGCAGTGTACATGGATATAGTGAAGAGTGTGCGCAATGCCATTTTTGTGCAATTCTGGGATGTTTTTTTAAGTAAAAATAAGTCGGCGTGTACATGGTTTATGTGTATGTGTTATTTTGAAAAATGCATAAGGAGAATGGTATTGTGCAGTTTTTCCTAATTTTGCAGTGAATATTTGTCATGATTAAGCAGTTTTGTTTGATAAAATTTCTAGCATAAGTGTAATTCGGCTAGTAGATTGTTGGAAGAAGTGTTCAGGAGATAAAAAGAAAAGAAACATGTCTTTACTTCGTGAAGACAAAATGGCGGCGGGGGAAAAAAAATAGAGGGTTGCTGTAGGAGAGTTGGTCGCCAAATTTTCGCCAAAAAATCGCCAAGTTACCATAATGTAAAGATCAACCGACAATTTTCGTATAATGAATAAATATTTTATTAAATTATATATTGGCCATTCTGGTCCAACACCTTTTGCCATCTTTCTGGCAGTAACACGATTCCCCGCTCATAAAAGTTTTGGTCCTTGCTGGCAAAAAACTGATTCAGGTGGTTTTTGACATCTTCATTTGAGATAAAGGTTTTACCATCCAAAAAATTTTGCAGGGACCGGAACAAACAATAATCAGAAGGCGCCAGATCTGGAGAATATGGTGGGTGTTGCAGTATGTCCCATTCAAGCTGTAAAAGCTTTTGGCGAGTGACCAAACTTGTATGAGGTCTCGCATTATCCTGGTGGAACACTACACCCTTCCTGTTGGTTAATTCTGGCCTCTTCTGTTTAAGTGCATCATTCAATTTGTCCAGCTGATTACAATAGACTTCCGAATTAATAGTTGTATTGTCCGGTAAAAGCTAAAAAAAAAAAAAAAAAAAAAGATTCCTTTGAAATCCCACCAAATGGACAGCATCACCTTTTTTTGGTGAATGTTGGCTTGAAACGCTTTGAGCCAGTTCATCTTTTCTGCTCCATGACCTCTTGCATTTCACATTGTTGTGTACGACCCATTTTTCGTCCCCAGTAATAATCCGCTTCAAAAATGGATCATTTTCCTGACATTTGAGGAGCGAATCACACACGTCAACGCGGCGACACAAATTTCGCTACATAAGAACATGGGACACCCACACATCGAGCTTCAAGGTTAAGCCCAGGCCTTTCAAGTGGCCATAAACAGTCGAAATCAACAAATTTAACCTCTCACCGATCTCTCGTGTGGTTATTCGCCGATTTGCATCAACTAATGCCTTTATCGCATCTTTGTAAGCTTCAACTGGCCTTCCAGACCGTGGTGCATCTTCGACATCAAAATTGCCGGATCGAAACTTTGCAAACCAGTTCTGGCACTGGTGTACTGTTAACACGCCTTCTCCATACACATCCGTCAATTTTTTTCTCGCTTTACAGCATTTTTACCTTTTCTGAAGTAAAAAATAAAATATGACGAAAATGCTGCTTATTGCTCTCCATATTTAAAAGAGCACCAACCAAAAACTACTGCGTAGAATTAATAGAACTTTTTCACACACAAGCCTTGTAATATCAGCTCTCAAGACATATAATGGTTATGCGGCTTAAGTGCGAAGTTGGTTTCGAAAAAATGTAATTAAGTCCTCTGACGGGAAAAAACGAAATTACTTTCCGAACCACCCAATAAATTATAATAAAAATGGCTAAAGTGCAGAATCGCCCACTTATTTGTTTGGCATGGCGCTTTTTACAAGAAGAATTGGATTTTTTTCAATTTTCTTTGACTTTTTAAGTGAAAATAGGTTGATGTGTACATGGATAAAGTCAAGAGTGTGCGCAATGCCATTTTTGTGCAATTCTGGGATTTTTTTTAAGTGAAAATAGGTCGACATGTACATGGATACTGCATATGTGCAATTCTTAAAAACGTGCCAAGCGATTCAGCACTTTCTCCATAAAAATTAGCTAAGTACCCATAAGCCTAGATATATTTCATATTTGGAAAAAATCTGAATTTTTCCTAAAATCCATTAAAAAATCATCACAATTTCTACTATTTTACAACACTAATTATTTTCTCAAGTACAGAATTCTTTATCCAATATCAGCATAAAAAATAAAACAAAAATACAGCACCAGTCTACACATTCCTTAGGTCTTCTCTTTAAATTTTTTTTACATGATAGATGTGCCATTTTATTAAATAGTAACAGTAGCTAATATTTCTATTTAAAACTGAAGAGAGAAATTTTTGTACAATTTTCTGCTTTGTGTTTCCGCAAAGTTCAGATCATAGACCTAGGAATATTTACAAATCATGTTTAATTTGCATGGCATACCAATACATTACTATTTATTCTAGTTACAGCAAAATTTTATTTGGACTTTTTTAAGAATTCATATTTTTCTTAATGTAAGTACGCAATCAGCAATAACTCTTAGGAACTAAATTAAAACTTGAAAAACAGATTACATTACATTTCTTTTTTCTTTCCATTTTCAAAATAGGTATTACTAGAAACTCACTTAAAAGTTAGAAAACATTTAATTTACATTATTATAATTAATTGTGTTTGCACTATAATGCTCAGGCTAGTTATGCAATTTCTTTAGCAGGAAAATAACTAAAATACTCATGCAATCAGGCTGTTCACCAGAAATTACTAATTGCAAATAGCAATGATTATCAGTTTCAACTATTTGGCCTGACTAGACGTTAAGAATTCAACTTTCTATATAGCAATGTTAGAAGGAACCCAATGAAAATTACTAGCTAATTTCTTAAAAGTTAAATGTACAGCTGATATTTCATTAAGCATTACAATACAGATCAAAATACTGTTTTAAAAAGATCGAATAAATTTTTGCTGAAAAGAATTAAATACCTGAACAGACGTAACACCTCTATACTAAGTTCAGTGAACTAAATCCGTGTATCCAGCAACATCTATTTTGGCACAGCAGGTTCCAAGTTTAATTCTTACAGTAGTGCTTAGAATTTTATTATATGAAATTAAAATACCTCAAAAGATATGTGTCAAAAATACTGAAATTGGCTTTTTTAATTTAAGTAAAAGTAAAAAATAACATTTAAAATTCATTAAATATCAAAATTACTTGTACTTAAATTTCAGTTATACTTTAGTGTTTCACAACTATTAATAAAACATCTAAACGCTATATAAATTATAGCCTTTGACTACAGACCCGTCATATAACACTACATGTTGATTAACGAAATAATATTACATCTAAATACTTCAAAATGTGACCGGATAAGGGATCGAAACTGTTATGCTTACGAATATCCACCATGGACCAGAAAAGACATACATAAATTACAATACGTTATAACAAATATGAATCTTCTGGCACTCTTATGCAACTCTTAAAACTTCTAATTTCAAATTAAGTACAAATACAAAAATTAATAAAAGTAACTTACATCAAACGAGATGACAAAGCGATCTAAAACTTTCGCTACCGATTCTCAATGATGCCAAAAACAGTATACTAAAACGGCAGAAAAAATATTTTAAAAACATTTTTTTTTCACTACTTTTACTGGTTTTCGGACTCAAAAGTACTACTTACCTTATTCTTCATACGTATAACAGAATAACGGTATAACAGAAAAAGTCAGTAAAAATTTTATTTTTTATTTGATTTTGAAGAGCTATGATAGTTATGAACTCTTTCCCACCTCTTAGATATAAAAGGGAAATATCTCAGTATAATAATGAAATGTTTCCTTCCATGTGATCGAAAACAACTAATTATTTGGAAACTGAATATTTAATTTTCTTTAGAAACCATCACAAAATAATTATTTGAACAGATAAAATGGCAATAATGTCTATTACTGTCGACTGTATGAAGTGTTGTCTACTTTATCGCTGTGAGTGTGCATTGAATATCTGTGGAGCAAGTTTGAATGTAATTATAGCATATTCTAAGGTAGACTTCTTGTCAGTATTGTCCATTTTCTCCTCCTGAATTTGAAGAATAGAGTATAACATTTGATCTACTTATCAAAAGCTGTTAACGTTTTTGTATATTAATATAAATAATCAGATAAGTTCTGTTTTATTGCGCTTACAGATATTTCCTCTCAATTTAAGGATGGTCACACACTGGAGTAGCAGTTAACTCAAAAGAAATCTTGCATTTAAAACTAAGCAAAATTCAGTTTTACACTGTCCTTGATTTTATAGAAAAGCTCTATGCATTTTGACGGAAACAGTCGGTTTTGACAGAACTTTTTGCAAATTTTTATGTTGAATTTTTTATAGTGGGAAGAGCCAATAACAGCCCCCGTAGGAAATGTGTACATTTTCCCTATAAAACTGTGTTGAAGTTTTAAGTTGAGAGCTGCCTTCGAATAATAATAATAATAAAGCATACTAGGTTCCTTGTGAATTTGCTGTGGATGGAAGGCACTGCATTCACAGTTCTGTCCTTATCACTACCAAAGATCAGAAAATACCTGAAGTACATTGTCATGTTAATTGAAGGGTATAACTCATAATGATCAAAACTTTGCTTATAAATTTCATGTAGTTAACATTGGAAAGAAATAGTACATTTTTAGGTTATTTGAATGTGGCAAAGTAAACAAGGACCACCTGCCTAAGGTGAGAGATGCCTCCACGGAGGACTTTCTTAGTGAAAGTGGCTCATATTCATATTATGCATGGGAGAAACCAACCTGTTCATCTGGATTCAAACAAACCTGTGTCGAACTATTAGTATTCAGTACGCTTTAACCATTTGGCAACCCTACAGGGCCATTCCCACTGGGGTTTATCTGAGCTAATGGGGACAACTAATGTAGCCGACCCATTCCCCAAACCATATGGCAGCAAGTTGAAAAGTCTGAACTGCAGGCATAGTGGAGCTAGTCGACACAGAGAACGGACTTTGTTAGTTCAGATAAGCTCCAGTGGGAATGGCCCACACCAGTGGTTGAGAGGCTAAGCCTACTGAATACCTGATAGTTCAAACCCAAGCAAATCCACTGGCTGCATGGGCTTTATTGGTCTTTCTGATGATTTATTTATTTCTTAAAGAGTATTATAAAAGTTTCAGGGGTAAAATCCTAGTATACGGTGCAGCCTTAACACGATTTTGAAAATTATTGCCAACACCAAAATGACCCGTTTACTACTCATAAAAAGGTAGATAAATCCTGTGTGCACCGAATACTAGGATTAAATCCTTTCAGGTTGTGGATGCTCAGCTCTTAAAGCTTCATGGATGAAATGGTCCAGTAAAGAAGTATCAAGAGTTGCACTACTGAACAAAATAAGAGAAAGACTACATGCATAATTTAATTTTTATTAACTATAATAGTATGTCTCATATATTCATATTTTATTTGATGAAGTGATATTTAGTTTTTTTACTAAAAGGGGGCTTATTAAAATATGAATGTAACATTTTTAATATGAGAATGGAGTCTCTTTTTTTTAATATTAAAAATTTAACATTTAGTTTGATGGACACTTTAGTGATTGCCAGTATGTAATTACAATATTAATCTGATTTTTTTCCCTGATTTTACTTCATTTATGTTGCATATGAAAAAAGAGAGGATTGCTACTTTGCTTTTAAAGATTTGTCATAAACAGAAAGAATACTTAAGTGCTTGAAATTTCTCTTTAAATTAGTTCCACCATTGGCCAAGGGGTTAAAGATTGCTGAATATTGGTAGCTCATCCCAAGCTTGAAAACAGGGAAATGGGCTCGCTGAATTGTTGATTCTCATAGTTTTCCTTGTGTGTAACAAGAATAAAAGCCAGTTTACCCTTGAAGGTCTTCCACAAAGGCATGTGCTTTGCCATATTCAAATAACCTAATCTCAATGTCTTTTAAAATAGAATGAATCTGTAATAATCTTTTAATATATATCAGATTTATTACATTTACATCAGCTGTGAACATCTATTAAAAATAATCCAAACAGATCTCATTTTCAAATTTAACTTTGATTATGCTTACTCTTTTGTATTAAATGTGAGTGCACTATCAAAGTTAAATTGCCACCCAATAAAAATCCAATAATTATTTCAAGCTAGGCAAGTTTAAGTTGTTTTCGTGGCATCCTGCAAGCTGGAATATATGTCCCCTTGAAAACTGCATTTTCTATAACATGTTTAAACTATTACATTAATTGGTACTTCCTTATTATTGTGGCCACCGTATTGTGAGCAGTGGCAAGATTATCAATGTCACCAATGTAAACTGTCTTAAATCATTAGCAGCTCTACAATGCTCATTTGTAATTCGCTAATGAAAAGAGCTCCGAGTAAACCATGCATTATCGTATTTTCCTTTTTCTGTGTGAATGATAATAATTCATAATGTCATAATTCTTTTATCGAAAGACCTTTAAGTCTGGTTCGAAGCTCTTCTTGTATTTAATACAGATATTGTATACCGAATCAAAAAAAAAAAAAAAAAAAAGAGGGAGATACACATTTCTATATCTTTCATTTTACTAACCAGTTAATGGAATTCAACTTGTGTTTTTAATATCTCAAAAGTGAAACTTAGGAAACTTAACAAAAATTAGACTTTCTGAAATAACATGCTGATTTTTTCCCTTATTTCGATTCTCTGCCAAACTACCAACTTTATGTAAAGCTTGGCTTTTTCCCATAATTCATTAAAGATTGTAACAAAGTGTGTAAGCCCATATTTAGAATTATTATGACTTATAACAAATATGCCAAATTTCAAAATACACCAATATATAAATTCAATGTATCTCCAAAAATTTTGAATAAAAATCCATACTTATCCATGCTTATACCAAAGTACCAATTTTTGTAAAAATCACAGCAGCGAATAGGTAGAAATTAGGCATCAAAATTTTAACTGTGTAGGGTTAAAAGTAATTTAATTGTTTTTAAATAATTTTTCAAAAAAGACTTTGAGTCGTAACCTATAAAATATTTACTATCATATTAAATTAGATTTATTTCTAGGAATACCTGCAAAAAGTTAGAGGTTTTTTTGGAAAATTTCCAAAGATATATTGAATTTATATATTCGTACATTTTTAAATTTGCCGTATTTGTTGTTTAGGTGATATTAATTCCAAATATTGCTTATGCACTCTGTTACAATCTTTAATGAACTGCAACAGTTGTTTTTAACCTTAAATATCAAAATAAACTTCTATGCCGATTATTCATATGGAATTTCATCTTAATTCTCATGTTTATTAATGGTACATAATAAATATTGGTACTATTCGGTTTCGAGGGCCGTAAAAAAATTGCAGCGAAAATGTATGCACAAAAGCGCCAAATCTAGCAAACGCGCCCATTTAACAGCGCGCCAAATCTAGCGTACGCGCTGATTTCAGATTGCGTAAGTTTATATAGTTCTGTATTTCTTAAGACGCCATTGAAATACTAGTTTAATTTTTAAATCATTTTTTGATTTTAAATCCTTTTTTGATATCCTATGGATTTAACAATATGGGAATTGCCATGACAAAAAGTCGACAATAGAATTTTGGGTGAAGTGCAGAATCGCCCACTGCTTGACGCGTTTTTTAGAATTGCACATACTTGGTATCCATGTGCACATCGACCTATTTTCACTTAAAAAAAAATTCCCAGAATTGCACAAAAATGGCACTGCACACACCCTTGACTTTATCTATGTACACATCGACCTATGTTCACTTAAAAAGTAAAAGAAAATTGACAAAAATCCAATTGCTTTTTACCCTTGTAAAAAGCGGCAAACAAGTAAGTGAGCGATTCTGCACTTTACCGAGAATATTTTCAAAGAAAAGGCATCATTCATTATAGAAATTACGTGTTGAACAACCAACGAGATGTAATTATGCTTAGCGATAAGTCGGTAGCAAAATAGCGATGCAGGCATCCATTCAGTTATGTTTAGCAATTTTTATATAATTATAATAATGATTTGAAATAGTTATTGACTCTTATGCTTTCATTCAGTCCTGTTTAGCCTTTTTCATATAAATTATAATAATAAAAAAGTATTATATGAAATTAACCTTCACTCTAAATTAAAACATCAATCTTAAATAGTTATTTACTATTATACTTCCTTCTGACGCAATTATTTTTGGCAGAATTGGCATTAATAATAGTTTGGCGATTTTTTACGGCCCTCGAAACCGAATAGTACCTAAATATTTATTAAAGTATGGAAAGCTATTTTTTTAATGTATGAAGAATATTAATCAAAAGTTTATTTATTTTCTTTTTTGTAAGAGTTGAAAAGTTTAGATATCTTTTTGGCAATCATAAACTATCATTAAATCTAAAGTAAGAACTGAATCATGAGAGTGGTTTAAAAGACTGTTTATTTAAAACTAAATGAGAAAACATTGCACATGTTGTGCTTGCATCTCTGCTAATCACTTGTGGAGAGATAATTCAAATTAATCATAAGTCAGATGTAAAATTCAAATAAATTAGTAGCCGGAGGCTACGTAATCAGTTTTAAACAAAGTTGGCTCAGAATTAAATTAACATGGAATTCAACTATCAGCAATTATAATGCAAGACCGAAGACAAGAACTCTTATCTAAGATAGCAACTTAGTAATGTAGCTGCAAGAGGCAGAACAATGTCTGTTTTGCAATCTAAAATCCTCACTAAAATGCATGCAAACTAATATGCATTATGGTGGAGAAAGTGAAAGAAGTGACAGTACAGATCCGAAACATAAAATAACTGGTTAATTAACATAAAAGAATCTGCCAGAGTAAATGCTTACCTCTGCAATTTTATTATCTGTTATTTTACTTAACTCCATTTTATGTACAACAACATTTGGTGTAATATATTTTTAAACAAACTGTTGTTTATATTTGAGAAGTCTGCTAATATTACCATCAATAACCCTTTTTTAAAAGTACAGTATATTTTTATATAAACATAAGATTTAGATAGTCACTTTTTTTA